ATTTGATTAGATGGGTGATACAAACAAAAAGACATAATATCCCATTACCATGGTTTTTGGCCAGGCAGAATACACTTACTGGAATGTCAGCAAAATGAAATGGCAACATAGCTGTTGCCCAGGAAACTGGATCAGTGCCAACATTCCTACCTTATGCTGAAGAAACAGTTTTCTTTGTGTTCTGACCACTGCTTGGCATTTTCCAAGAAGTTCCATTCTGCAACTCTGCTGAACAGAAACTTTTTTTTCAATAAAACTAAATGCAGAAAGAGTGCAGTTCTATTTCCTCTGTTCTACATGTTCTTGTAGTAGATCCTGGAGTAATCCAGTATAATTCTGAGTTGTACAGCAAGCTTAACAAGTAGCAGTATATTCATGTTCAAAGAACAACTCTGATAAGGGTTGCAAACTCTTCTTACTATCAATGGATTGCATCAATGGATCATGTCCTTCTTATTGCATCAATGGATAATGTCCCAGCAGACCTATTTAGGATGACTCATTTTCATTTGAGGACTGAGACTCAGCAAGGTCTACACCAGGCTGAAGTGAAAGTTTCAGGCAACATTTGCCAATAAACTCGCTCAAGTCTTAACTCCTCATAGGCAGGAACAATAGAGTTAGCAGAGGGAGAGTCTTGTGATGTAATCTGGAACTCATTCTATCCTGTAAGTAAATGTGGTACTAGGCCACATTTGGTACCAGGCAGAATGAACATATGAGCCACAACCCATGCTTCTTCAAAATTTGGGGGCATGACTGCCTGGATTAGAGTGTGATCAATACTGTTAGGATGGTACCACTGACTTTGAAAGAGATGGTGGTATGCCTCTCCTGAAGAGGCCATCCCTAGAGCCGGCTATGTTAGAAACCAACCTCTGCAACTCCTTTTTGTGGAAGATATAAGGAATGTTAGTGCTCCTACTGAAAAAATCCCAGAGAAACAAATTATCTGGATTATTTCCAAATTCTGGAATCAGGTCTAGGTTTGAAATAGAATCACATTGGCTACACTGTTGGATGACTTAACTAGATAGCCTGGCATCATTCAATATTCTCAATCTCTGGGCTGCTTATGAGGGTTAGATATTGTTACAGATATTGTTGTACAGTGAGTCTGCTTTTTCCTAAATGTGTGGTTCCAGTGGGTGATAGTAGGGAAGAAAGTTCTATTGACCATTCCAGTGTGGTATGCCACAGAATTCTCCTCTTGCTGTCCAAGCTGTCCTCTTTCTCTTGCTGTCTAACTGTTTGGTGAAACCATCTACCAATCTAGGATGAGGCATCATCAATATGCCAATGATATCCAAATACTTTGTTTATTTTTACCTCAAAGATGCTTTTTCAAATGGCAACTGGACTGTTTTTATCTTTGAGGAAGAACAAGAAGAAGATCTTTTGCTTCTAATCCAAGAAGCTTCATCGGTTCTGGCAGGATGAAGGGAGCGATAGAAGGATTAATTCTGACTGGATGAAGGGAGGGACTGGAAGGATCATATTTCTTTTCAATCATCTGGTTGTTAATATCTCCCTGAGAGCTCTTGAGGCCAATGGGGATTTATCTGTGCCCTCAGGATTACTATCAAGTGCAAATGGGGGTGGAATATTCTTGCAACTTCTTTGCCAGCCCACTGGGTACCATGTGCTCCTCCCCACCCTGTCATGGATCACTTACCTACCTATGGAGTATCTCCAGAGCTGAAGATGTTGGGGTAGGAAAGAAGAACAGGATATGCCATGTGGCAAAAAAGCGACTGTCTTTTTCTCAGACACAAAGCTGTTTTCCTTAGATCCCAGGTGCAGTGCCTGGTGGCTGCACTGACCTGGCCCACTGTGAGAGGCTCAGCCATTTCTGATGATGGGGCCACTGATCCGGCTGTTTAAGAACTGTTGCTGGAAATATGCAGAAGGCACATGTGGTGCCACCCAGACCAAGGCAAGACAAAGTCTGCAGAGAGGCAATAGATATCACGTTCTTACACTTCTGTCCTCCATGCAAAAACCATTTTTCCAAAGAAGACAGAAGCATGTATACGAATGGAAGATCTAAGGAAAACATCTTTGTGTCTGAGAAAAAGATGGGCGCTTTTCTGCCACATGGCCCAACCTATTGTCCTTTCCTACCCCGACATCTTGAGCTCTGGAGATCTTCCAAGGTAAGTGAGCGATCGGTGATAGGGTGGGGAGGAGAAGACCCAAGCAGCTGTGAGATCTAAGGGGTGGGAAGCGGAATGTGAGCTATCTCAGTGGATGTGGGGAGGCTTTGGGTGGCCAGAGGCAGGTATCTTGTTCCTGCATTAGGCCCCCTGTGGTCTTCCCGACCATGAGGAATCCCATGTGCACTTAACGACCCACACATTTCATTAATAAATGCATTGGGAAGAGGAGGAACGGGGCTCGTTCATTTAACATGGTTCAGTTAATGTTACGGCCGTAATGAGCAGATTCCTTTACGGTAGTAACTCAAGGATTACTTGTATACAAAGGGGAGTCAGAAATCTGTATAAAAGGGGAGAAATTAATTGTTTTCAAATTATTATTTCTTTTTTCATTTTTAACTTTTATTAAATGTTAAATCAACATACACTCAGAGTCACAAGTAATACATAGAGACCAAAATTTTGGTCACATAACTATTATTCTGATATGATATGCAATGGTCTTTTTTTTATCTTACACTCAATGTTGGATGAAAAGTTAAATAATTTTTCGCTTGCAATATTATATCCTAAAATTATATTGATGAATACAGTATTTATAATTTTTTCTTATTTTCAGTACTTTAACCTTTCTAAATAATAGAATGTTCATAGTTTATAATTTTTATACAAGTATTGTTGCATTGAAATCTTCATTGAAATTATACAGTGTATCAAGATTTATAAAATTACAAAAGGGGAAAAAACAATTGCTACGAAGTAAGAATTTATGCATCTTCTCCCTTATATGGAATGCACTATTTGATCAAATCTCATGAAATCTCATGGTATGTGTATGTCATGGTATGGTAATCCATTTGAAATATTACAGCACTGTATATTGGCTGTATATCTTGGCAATATAGTTCAACAATGCTGTTCAGTGGAATGTATGAGTAAGAATGTTTCCAGCTGGTAGTGCAAGTCCACAGAAATTTTTACTGTTGAGGAATAAAAGCTTTCTAGGAAGCTGCAATATTTTTTTCTCACTAAGTAGAAACCCAGTCCTTAAACCCCAGCTATTTAACAGTATTACTATGAAAACTGAGTGAGGAGGAAAAAATTACAATTACTTTATATTTAGTTGAAGAAAGAAAGAATATCAGGCTTCAGAAACTTAAAACCTAAGTCCAAGTGGGTCAACATGGATGACCTCAGTGTTCCATTTGAACAACAGAAACTCATTTTCCTGAAATCACAAGTATTTTCCTGGGAAAAAAATGCTATAGACTCTAAAAGAATGACACACTATGTGTGTTTTTTAATGTGTTAACTACATTTGGTATTAAGATAATCGTTAGCATATAATTCTGACACAATCTTTCTGCTCCAAATATTCTGACACAAGGTTATGTTTTTTTTTATATTTTTTAATTTTTTTGCCTCTATCTACAAAAAGAGTTATCAGATCAAAAATTTAGATTTTTTAAAAATAAACATTTCATATAAAAATATTATATTCTGAAAATGTATTATATGTATCTGATTACGAATGGTTACTTCAGATAACATTGTTTTACCACTGACATATATATTGTTGGGAACAATACCTGAGCGAATGCCTTCTTTTCTTTATGAATATCCCTGCTTCCTCTTCTCTTCAGTGAGTTCTGAAAGAACAGAGAATGTATAATAAACAAATTTTAAGAATGCACACAAGAGTCCAAAAATAATAATGTAAAGTTTTTTGACACTATCATATCAATAATTAACTGCATGGCAGTCATTAATAAAAAATATATGCATTTTAGATTTTTCTTGAAGCATTAGGTCAGGACTGTCAAATTCCCAGCCCATGGGCTAGATGCGTCATATGCTGGCCATGCCCATGCCCAGTTTAGCGAAGGGGGAAAAAGTCCCGATACATCACGTGCAGAGGTGGGCTCCACCTCTGGGCACTGTGCAAAAATTTAACAACAGGTTCCAGCTGGTTTGGCTGAGAACCGGCTAATCACACCACTGGCTGGCCCCGCCCATCCCGCCTCTCCAAGTCACTCCTTATCTCACCTTGCTGGTCTTGGCCATGGCATAGTAGCTGCTGTTCTCTGGCTCCCTCACTCCCTCACTTGCGTCGACCATGTGGCCCCCACGGCCCAGCCCACTTGCCTGCCTTCGCACTGGCCTCCCATGCGGCCCAGCTACCTACTGAGGCTTCCTTTGCCATTCTCCACTGCCTCCCAGGTGGCCCAGCTACCTGCCTATCTGGTTAGCCTTCCTTTGCTTGTTTGCTGGCACAAGCAGCCTATTACAGGACCTTCCTAGGGCTCCCCAGCCTGTTACAGGCTGAAATGGAGGGTCCCTGGCCCTGATCCACCCTCCCAGACCCTGTCCAGGCCTTCCTAGGGCTCCCCTGGCCTCTTACAGGCCGAAATGGAGGGTCATTGGCCTCGATCCACCCTCCCCACTGCATTTCCCATGGCTTTACTGTACTTACTTTTCGAAGAGCTGCAGAAGAGGCTGAGCCACAAGGCAGGGAAGCCAAAATCTTTTATTCAGAAGCTGGCGAAACTGTAAGAATGTGAGATGTAAAGAAAACAGCTTTCCCCATCTGAATAAAAGCTTCTCTGCCATGAGGGCCTGCAGGCTTAATTTTTACCCAGTCTGGTCAGGCTTAGTTTGGGCCCAGTCTGCATTCTGCTAATTGGCTAATTCAAATGAGCAGCTTCAGGGATTGGGGCATGGCAGCTAATCAACAAGGGCCTTGCAATTGAGCCCAATGAGACAAAGGAAGCAACCTCCCCTTTTATTGGCTGCTGCTGTTTCTGCCTCAATCCCTGAAGCAGGAAGCTGCTGTGGCCCAGTCCAGGCCTAGGCTTGCTGGACACATGGCCCCAGCCTAAGTCTTTTACTCAGAAACTGATGAAAATGTTTTCCTTAAATTTCACGTTCTTACAGCTTCACCACCATCTGAATAAAACACTTTGGCTTCTTTGCCAGTGGGTCAGCGTCTTCTGGATCTCTGGAGATCTTCAAGAAAGTGAGATCTTCAAAAAGTAAGTAATAAAATAGTAATAGCAATAACACTTAGACTTATATACCGCTTCATAGTGCTTTTACAGCCCTCTCTAAGAAGTTTACAGAGTCAGCATATTGCCCCCAACAATCTGGGTCCTCATTTTACCCACTTTGGAAGGATGGAAGGCTGAGTCAACCTTGAGCCTGGTGGGATTTGAACTGCTGAACTGCGGCTAGCAGTCAGCTGAAGTAGCCTGCAATACTGTACTCTAACCACTGTGCCACCTCGGCTCTAAATGGCATGATTAACATTTCCATTATTTTCAATGAGAAGTCAAGGTAATTAAGTTAACATGAATGTAACCTATTAAGATTATGTTTAAAAATATAAAAGAACTATATGTTAAAAATGTCCCTGGTTTGCAACTAAATCATTTATGTCATACTTTGATTTTTGTAGCAAATTGTACATTTTTGTTTTTATAAAAGCAAAATGAATATTCATTGAGAATCAATCTGTTTCTTCAAAGTAGTTCCTTTCTCACCATCCTCTAAAGCTCTACTCCTTACTGATTTTTCTTAATAATTTGTCTATTTAGAACAACATAAAGGAAGGGGGGAAAAAAGGCAAAAGAATTCCTAAGGGAGCAAAATCCCTATAATTATATAGAGACCCTACAGTGGTCTCTAAAGTGGTCTTATTACCACAGTATAAAGCTAGTACAATGACTTTAAAATACAGCTATTACTGTTTCCAAAAAGTATATACTAGTACTTGCTAAAAGTTTAGAAGGTATCTATGTTAACAGACAGCTGCTTCCATTAGCAGAAGAACACTTTCCAATATAGGGGGGAATAATCACAAATCCAGCAAGTTTTTATATTTGCTTGAGAGTTTGTGAGAAACCTTTTGTTAATGTTAGAAAGAGACTTCACTGAACAATTAATTTAGTTTTGTCTTCTTGTAGTTCTTGAAATCCATGTCACAGAATTCAATGTTTCAAAAGTATTCATATTATTTTAGCCATTTTTGACATAAAACTGCCAGATTTAAAAACTTTGTTTAAACATTTCATGGAAAAGTCTTTTTATAATGCTACTATTAAGCATTATACATTAGGCTTGTCAAATTTCTTGTTTCTGATCAGATTGCATTTCATAATGCTTCAAGGGTATAATGGCTTATTTAATTATATTAACAGAATAGATATCAATGAAAATTATAACTTTATAGCAAAAAAAAAAAAAAAGTAAATCCATGGGAAATGGGGTGGGGAGGAGTAAGTGGAATCTGAGTTGCTAACAAAGCAGGCCCAGTCTGTGGAGACCCAGCGGATGAGAAGGGGGAAACAATTGTGGGGACCCCAGGAGAGCATGAGGTATCTCAGTGGACTGGGGGAGGCCTTGGATGGTCTGCTCCAGTATTAGGCCCCACATGCTGTTCCTCGGCCTGAGATACCTCATGTGCATTTAAAGACCTGCACATTCGATTAACAAATGCATTGGGGAAAGCAAGGAGTGATCACGTTCATTGAATCACATGATTCAATCAAACGAATGCCCAGGTTACAAATGTAATTGGCAAGCTCTATTACATCTGTAACTGGAGGATTACCTGTATAATGAGAGTGAGTGGGGGTCTCAGGGAAATCCTGCCTTAGCACCACATGAGTCCTGTGTCACGCCCACCCTGGCCATGCCCAGCCAGTCACATGACCAGCCAGCCATGCCCAGCCAGCCACGCTCACCCAGCCAGTCATTAGGGCAGAGAACCAATTGTTAAAAAATTTGCAGCCCACCACTGCTCACACGACACTGATGACGTGAGTTTGACACCTCTGCATTAGGTCATAATAACAAAAACAGATATAATCTTTATCCCAATGTAGCTGGAAAAACCATGTATTTCTAGAGATCTTACAAAGAAAATGAAGCAAATTTGAATGCACTAGTATCCAACTTTTATAATTCATAATTTATGAATTTATAAATATTGTTTTTTGTTTTTAAAGAGAAATGAAGGAAAGAAGCATATGATGTAAGTCTTCTGAAGGATTCAGGAGTGTTGATGAAACTAAATTCTACATGCCTAGGAATCAACAGCATTTTTTAAAAAAATATGCAGGAGTAAACTTTAATTTTTTTTAAAAATGCTAATTTTCTGCCACTGAAGAGAAGGCTGCACCCACTAGGAACAGCAGATGGGCTGATCTTACTTCCCCCCCCTCTTCCTTCATCATTTTACTTAATGCATTCAATCTAGCTGCCATTTGCTTCTTCCCCAGTCTGACAGGCTCCAGGGCTGCCTGGCTCCATTCTGTCTGATAAGGCTATGAAATACCTGATGCCTTTATGAACATGGATAGTCTGCATTTTTTTGCATTGAAACATAAATATCAAAACAAAGCTGACTGGGAACTAGATTGATACTTTCATTGCTTCAACCACTTCCAATATCGTAGCAATAAAATTTCCATCATGGGGGGGGGGAGGTATTAAAAGGGGTCTTCATCCTTGAATAGTTTTGAAATCACTGGATTAGAGGAAACTATGCTCATTAGTATATTTCGTATGTTTGGAAATTCAACACAATCAACTAAAATTTTGTTACTTCCTATTTAATTATATTATCATTTCAATTACTCAGAATGCTGAAGATTATAATTTATCTGCTTTTAACAGCTCTAATCAGCTTTTTACTGGTTACACATATGTAGTGTAACATAAGCTTGAATTATTATATGATTTATTTCTTCAAATTCCAAATGAAATCTGCTTTAAAGCTCATTGTGATTTGTAACTGCTTGAACAGTTACTCCTTGGTTAACAACCATTCTGTCAGGCTTCGATGCTATCTCAAAATAAATGAACTTCCAAACTGCCAATCTTTAAGGAAATTTTCTCTTTATTCGAGTACAGTAACCGGATCCTGGCTCTTCGCGGTCAATACTGACCTTTGCCCCCCAATCCCTCCCTTTCCGATCCCCAATTCTCTGCTTCTCATTGGCTATCTTCCAAGTCACTCTCCTGATTCCTTTTCCCGTCAATTCACAGGAATGCTTCCCCCCTCCTCATCTCCAAGGAGACCAAATCTTCAAAGGGATTTAGCAGGCAAAAGTTCAAGCTTCATTCTCCCTTTTCTATGTCAGCGCTGAGACGCTGACACATTCATTCAGTTAATGTTTGAAGTTAGGGTTGTTGAGTGTTCTTGAAGTTCCAACTGTTCAAAAATTTACCATCACGTAATTGTGATGCTCAGCAATCAGCTCTTAACAATGATTGTAGCATCCTATGGTCATGTGATCACAATTCCCAACCTTCCCCACTGACTTCCCACAAGCAAAGTCAATGGGGAAGCCAGCAGGTAAGCAGCAAAGTCAATCAGGAAGCCAATCTTCCCCAACCATACAACCTCCCTGAGCACCACTGTGCTTCACTTACCTGCCTGCTGGTGACCCACCTAGAACTTTCATCTTCCTGCTGGCTTCCTTACTGAGTTTGACTGTCAGAAAGCTGCAGGAAGTTGTGAGAGGACATGTTTGCTTAATGACCCACAATCCTCACTTAATGATGCAATCGGGACTGCAGGGATTGCCATTGCTAAGCAATGCGGTCATGAGACTGGATAAGATCAAAGACCTAATATCTAATTATCAAGATTTATCAAATCTTTATTTTATTCTCACAATCAACTAGGGTGGAAAAATAATTGTGGTCAAGGGGACACACCTACTTTGTTTCCCTCCTGGGAAAACAGTTTGTTTTGAGTGGGGCCTTTATATTTATTAGGAAGATTTCTTTTGAGAGTTTGGAGATTGTTTTCTAAAACTGTATCAAGCTTATTTCAGAGTTTCTACTGCAGTTTTAACAATTTTACACTGTTTCCCATATGAAAGCACTTATGCCAGCAGTTCTTAGCAGCCATACCCAGAGGTAATTATGTGGGCTTACATACATAAGATTCAACTTCTTCATTTTTGTAAAAAATGAAATGCTTATGGAAGTCGACATACCTATAAAATTTGAAAAAGGAACATTCAACTTCTTTGTCTAAGAGAGAACTAGAACTTAGATATCCCTGTTTGTCATCTTTAATAACCTTAATAACCATGCCATGTTGGCTCAATGTCTGCATTACTAATCTATAAATTTTATTCTTTTAATTATCTATATAAGCAACTGTTGAATCATTGAAATGAGCACAAGAAAAAGAGCTACAGCCATAGGACAAAACTGTGTCTCAATATTGATATAGATAGGAAATGTGTCATACTGAGTAATGCTCCCTTGTCAGATGAAGCACTTATTAACAAATGACTCCTCTATACAGGATCTTTTTTTTCAATTCCAACTTTTTAGGCATTCTTATTTTACGCCTTTGCTTTAATTTCATATATCAAAGGAAAATAACAAATCCACAGACTATTGTGGATCATTAATTAGCTTTCAAAGAATTGTCTGGTTCCAAAATTTGGTGTAGCTGTACTATCAAGTTAACTTCCTTGATGCTTCTACTCCTTTGATATTTCCCAAAGCAGAGCTACAATTTCATTAAAGACAATCATATGAGCCCATGACCTTCAATTGACCCTTAATACCCTTTAAAAAAAGACTCAACTGCTTACTGGCAATTCATTGCAGTGAAATAAGAAAAGCAGGCTGAAATCCAGATCCACCATGCTTATATATAAAACAGATTGTACCAAATACAAAACTGGAAACAGTTACAACAACATTTAATAAAATCTTTACCTAAGAATAAATTGGCTTGTATCAAGGAAGTCAGCACTAGTGATATTACAAATATTATTAACAGAAGCATCTTACACAATTTGGCAGGGGAGATCCAAAATCCCACTAACATCAATGAGAGTTGGGAGTAAGGAAGACTATAAGAGTTCAGTTTTTTAAGAAATTATTTCAGCATATAGAATGATGATCTAGCTTATTAATTTGAGTAGCCCTTAATATATATTCAGTATTTTATAATTATTCTTGATTAACAATTTTATAAATTTTGATAATATTTACTAGCATTGTTAATTGTTCTGGTCAACGGATTTATACATATTTTATATTGATTTTCTCAATAACTATAATTAAAGAGTTCAGTCATGGTATTCAGAAAAATCTAGGCACAATTATTTAAAATTGTTAAAATTCTTTCAATAAAATAACATTTTTTGCCTTCACAACTTTGTACAAAGTCAGCCAATGAGTTTCACAGCTGAACAGAGATCTGAGCATGGTATATATATTCTTTACCTTCAAACATTATTTGGACACCAATTTGCCATTCTTCTCTAATAACACTTAAAGAAGCAAATTGCTGACTGAATGCATATGTGTTTATTTATTTATTTATTTATTTATTGGTTCGATTTATATGCCGCCCTTCTCCGGAGACTCAGGGTAGCTTACAATGCGTTAAGCAATTGTTTATTCAGAAGCTTTGTTTATTTTAACATTATAGACTGTAACTTTGATTACATTTAGTCATAAAATAGTATATACTTGGTTTCTTTTATTCAAAGAAACCAAACACTTCTAACTGTGCTGGCACATTAAGACAAAACAATATATTGTTAATGCAAAACAATGTATCATAAAAACAGAAAAGACAGAGTTCTAAAATAAAAATGAAAACATAAAAAACAATCTAATTCATTTTCAAAGTATCTATTTTCAGTGTAAACCTATGAATTAAAGTTTTAGATCTAAGTGCTATTGCTATCTATAGACAATAGTTCAGTTTTTCCAGACTGACATAACTGCTTCTTGCTATGTAATATTAGAAATTCTGAGAGGCGGAATAAACCATTATAATCCTCTTTGCAGAGGACATGTCTCAGATAATCTTTATAATCTACTTTTATTCATCTATCCAGGTACAGTACTTCCTACAACAAGAAGAATATTGCAACTCTATTTGCACTACCTTGTTTGGCTATATTAATATTTGTCCAAATCTCATAGCACAAATGAGCCAGAAATAGTTTCAACCTTCTACCAATGAAACTTAAAAGGGGTTTCTATATAAAAAATATGAATTCAAATAAAACTGCAGACTTCCATCTCTTCTAGAAATGTAAAACACGTTTGTCCTGCGGTCCCTAATGAGACATTCCTGGAAATAGAATAGGTGCAATAGTGGGGAAGAGGAGAAGGAGTCACATCTCAGGAGGACTAACTGGAAAAAAAAACCAATACAAAAATCTTGGATTTGAAATTGTAGTCTTAATGTATGACAAAATGCTACAATTTCACAGTACTTTTTTTTCTCAGATGCAAGTACTAGTTTAAAGCGAGCTAAAACGTTCAATAGCTATCATTTTTAAAAAGGGAAAGTGGTTAGCTTGAATATTTTTAATAGTACAAAATTCTATATTAAACTGACAATGTAAACTAAAATAAATAATTCTTTAATTTTATCAAAAAAACCAAATAATGGTGCTAAGATGGGTAGCCAATAAAATAAAGAAATAAACAAATACATCCATCCATCCATCCATCCATCCATCATATGGTACATAAATATTTTATTTAAGCACTAAGCCTGTGAATTAGAGTTGATGTAAATTATATATGCTATTTTTTTCTGGCACCATTCTGAGGTTTTTTATAGTTCTCTGTACTCTGTCAATCAATTTAACTGTTTCAGAGCTTTTTATCAAGGGTCTAAAATAGATATCATACCCTGCATAAAGTAAGAATTCTGTGAGTTCTAATGACTCAATATTATTATTTCTTTCCTGTTTCTCTTTTCCAGCATATTGTAACTCAGTTCATGAAGCTACATGATTATTTTTGTTAAACTAAACATATAATGTGAACTTATAACCGCCACACATTTTGAAGAATATCTAAATTAATATCACAGATAGTCCTCGATTTATGAGAGGTCACTTAGCAACCATTCAAAGTTACAACAGACACCCCAACAGTTACTTAAGATCTAGTCCTGAAGTTAAATCTCTGCAGTTTGCCCTTATGATCGATGGGAGAGACACTGCAGAACACGCACACTTTACCTATTCCCCCCCACCATCCTGCCCCGCCAGGTTCCCACAGGCACTGGGCTTGCTTTGCCATTCCACTGGGTTCCACAAACTCCTCTCCATCCCAGTCTCCATTTGCTCATTTATCTTTTGAAGATATCCAAAGCTCAGGAATTTGTGGTAGGAAAGGAGGATAGGACAGTCTGTTGCTGGATCACATGGCACAATCAAGGAGAAGTCCTGCTGTTTTTCCTTTCATCGCTAGTTTCAGCTCTCCCAACATTAGTTGCTAATGCTGGGGGACTAAGACTAGCATTGAAAAGAAAACCATTTTCCTTGCTAGTACTAGCCTTAGCTTGTACTAAGTAGGGCATTAGTAGGGCTATCGTAGCTAACACTAGGGGGAGCTAAGACTAGCATTGAAAAACTGGGAGGTCCTTTCCTGCTAAGCACTAGCCTTAGTTCCCCAAGCATTAGCAGCACTAGCGTAGCGGAGTTAAGACTAGCAATAAAAGAAAACCAGCAAAGTTCTTCTCTTCAATGATGCCACATGGCCCTGCAACAGAGTGGCCTGACCACCTTCCCTATCCGGACCTCCTGAGCTCTGAGGATCTTTAAAAGGTAAGTGTGTAATTGTGATGGGGTGGGGTAGGGAGTAGGCCCATAGGCCTGTGGGGACCCCAAGGAGAGGGAGAAAAACATGACGTATTTCAGAAGGTGGAGACCTTGGGAGGCCCAAATTAGGTGGGCCTGTACCTACACTAGGCCTCTCAGGCTCTTCTCCACACCTGAGGCATCCCATGCTCCACTTAACGACCCACATGTTTGCATTGGGAAGAACAGGGATTGGGGGGCAGGTTGTTACTTGAGGCAGTTCAATTAATATTTGTCCTAATTTCCAATCCTAATAGTTAGGCTTCATTATGATCATAATTCAGTGATTACCTGTATCTTATGGTTAAAACATACTGTACATATTTTTCTGATCTAACAAGAGTTTCATATGCCTTTAATTATGTAAGAGGGTATATTGATAACTAAATTGCTTCTGACCATGAATGAGTTTCTCTGCTCAACACACAGAGATTACCAGATCAGGGTGTGATTCATACTGGTGCACAGCATGGGTTAAAAGATTGTTTTAGCCTTTTCAATATAACTTGAATTTTAGTCTCATACTCTATTGATAGAAAAGATTTAATTATTTCAGTTGGCTCCTTTTTGGCAATACAAATAGTCACACTATGTTCAGTGGGTCAAAGATTAGAGTAGGGGAAAGAAAGGTTAAGCAATCCTATCCTGGAGGACTTATACTGGCAACCAGTGGAAAAACAACCATGAACAATAATGTGCTCAAGATACACAAACCTAAGCTAATGTATATTTTGGCAACCAAAAACAGTTCAGGTAAATTAAAATAGAAGTCTTTTTTGAATCAAGCTTAGTTCCTGTTGATTGTATGAACAATACGTAGGGAATTTCGACAACAGCTGGACAGCAAATTCCCATTCCATTCTTCCAGGAACTTTATCCCCTATACTAATATTTTCAGGTAAACTCCTATCCTTCTGATCTACATAGCTTTTCTAGGTCAGCCAAGGTTATCCAGATGCTGCCACTGAAATGAGCTAAAGTTCAGCCAACAGGAATCATGAGATTTCATGAGATTTGATCAAATAGTGCATTCCATATAAGGGAGAGGATGCATAAATTCTTACTTCATAGCAATTGTTTTTCCCCTTTTGTAATTTTATAAATCTTGATACATTGTATAATTTCAATGCAGATTTCAATGCAACAATGAAGTGTAGTGATTGGAGAAGTAAAGTATACAGGATGAGAGAGGTTTAGGTGAAAAACAATCAGCTCAGTAAGTATCTTAGATGTAAAAGTTGGTTACCACATTAATAAATTCAAGAGGTCATTGTGTAAATAGCTAGTTGCAAATTCTTTACTGTTTCATTTGAAGTCTCAACCTGTTATACATGGAATATTGCTTCTAAATTAAAAATACTTTAGTCCATCTCAATAAATCTTATAAAAAAGAACTTTGTAAAAATTACGCTTGCAAAAAAAAAGTACTTTTAATGTAGCAGCTACCAAAGAGGGTGACATTAGACAAACCACCATTTTTTTTGGTAAAACCTACTTCCCACATATCACCTTGAAGACTAAACTAACTATAATTTCTCCCTGACTCCAATTATACTTTTACTCAGAACCATCACTGTTCTTTTGGTTGAATGTAACACAAACTTGATTGCATGTTATGTGTAGTTTTATTAAGTGATCAGAGTCAAAGCCCCAGCTTCAGTTCTATCTGCTTTTTTGTATTCTATCTAGATTAGAAGAAGCAATAGAAAAAGGAGGTATTTTACTCAATGCTTGAAGTACTTCTTGCTGCAATTGCTTTGAAATGCAAATGGAAGAATGATCTTTTGCATCTTAAATGCCACTCATGTATATTTATTTCTGCTTTAGCAATCTATAAAAGATAAACAGCTGTAGTGACTCAAGCACAAAAACTTTTTAAGAATAGTTCCTAATGCTAAAACTAGCACATTTCATTTTACAAAGAAACAGGGAAATAGAGGAGTATTTTAAGACTAGAGAAATAGTGTCAGAAAGAACAGACTATCTTTCTTTCTCAACAGGCCAGAGGCCTCACAGACAACTCTTATGGTTATATTTTAAAGGAATTTCCAGGGATCTAATCATAGGTGCTTCATTTGCCATCTTGTTTGGCTGTCTCCTCTAACAACCAATAAGTGCTAGAAATACCTACCCTCCTATGCAACTAAAATGCATAACCAAATATAGTCTTATATATGGGTTAAATTATCAATGGTAAAGGCTTTGCTATTTTGACTAACATTATATACTATCTGTTATGACATCTGATTTAACCCAGAAGCTAGAGGACTCCAAATCTAATCCTTCCCTTTCAGACATTCTAACAGCCACATGGAAGAAATGAGCAGGATTACAGTATATCTTGCCTACTTCCATGTCCTTCTGTGACACTCTGAAAAGAAGCCTATCCATAATCTCTGTAAGAGCAGAGGATTTTCTTTATTCAATTAGCAGCACCATTTCTGAAAGACTGGAGAAAGATTCCCATAGAGATAGCTGAAAAGAAAATGCACACATATATAACTTTGACTAACAAGATTGATCATAACATTAAGTAGATTGAAGCAAAAGCACAATTTGAGGAGAGAGGTATTATATTTGTTATTTTACTATTTTTCATAACTAACATTAATGTTCGCTAATGTATTTCAATATATAAGATTTGTCAGTTTTCCAGAAACCACATATTATATATTAACTTCATTAGAATGTGAGTACATACACAGTAGTACCATGTTTACCCGAAAATAAGATACTGTCCTGTCTTATATTTTTCTGAACCTGAAATAAGCACTTGGCCTTATTGCCATGCGCTCAAAAGCCTGATTGGGCTTATTATCAGGGGATGTTCGCAACGGGAGCACATGCACGCTTCTGCGCATAAGCTTCTGCGCATGCGCAGATCGTCAATTATGATGGGCGGGTGGGCGGAACCTCCAGCCGCTTTTACTATTGGTTCTAAAGAACAGGACAGAACCAGGAGAATCTTACACTTTATGATATTTTTTACTTAAATTACACATTTAAATCATTTCTTTTATCAAGTATTTTATCAGATATTCTAGAAGATAAGTGTAGTGCAAATGAAGGAAATAGAAGATTTTAAGTTATATATAAGACAATACGCAGGTAGCTATAAGTTATAATTACATTTGATAATTAGTACAATTTTCAAATTATTACTGAAGCAATTGTTTTCAATACTGTAATAACAGAAATATCTATATTATTTTTAAAAATGATTTATGAACACTGGATCTAATAACTAATATCCTGTAAAATTTTCCTTTCTTTAGCTATAAAAACATTTTTTTTAGTTTTTTATATCCAGACATAAAGAATAAATTACACAACTGCATGAGTTCAATCTGGAAGAGCAAATTTTTCATGATTGATTTAGTGATTAGGTGCCATCAATTTTTTCTTGACTTAGGGACCACACAGATAGATGTGCTCCAGGATGATCTGTCTCCAACCTGGTCCTTCAGGTTCTCTCTACTGCTGCACCCATTACCACTATAGCTATAATAGAACATTTATAGTGGTCAGCCTTACTGGTCATCATTTTTTCTCTTTTCTTTCACCTTTGCAATAATTATAAACTTCTCCTGAAAGGTCTTTGCACAATATGTTCAAAGTATGGTAATTTGAATCTGGTGTTGTACCTCAAATGAGAGCACCTGGCGGATTTGCTTTCTGGATCTTTTGTTTGTTTTGATTTGTTTCTTTGGCTATTCATGGTATTCTCAGAAGTGTTCTCCAACATGAAAGTTCAAAAGCATTAGTACTGTTTCTATCCTGCTTCTTCAAAGTCCAATTTTCTTTCTTTTTAAATTCTTTACTGATGTTTTAAAATATATATATATAAATGAGCAAAAAGAAAAAGGAAAAAGGAAAAGTCAGGAAAAATCAAGATAAAAGTACAAAAAGAAAAAAAATAAACAGAATAGAAAGATAATAATTTCATTGGTAGACATGTAGTTAAAAATACATCAAACTCTTACTCCAAAGTTCACAATACTCTATGTTAATTCCATAATCCCATATAAATTGGGATATAATCAAATCCCCAAATCAAATTTTCATTCTTTCAGTTTCAAAAACTCCAAAACTGGTGTTCATGTAGAAATAAAATTGGTCAAAGTCTTTAATCAAAGCTGTCAATTTTGCATCTCTGCCAGTTCCACCAGCTTCACCATCCATTCTTCCATTATTGGCATTTGTAAGTCCATCTACTTTTATTCAAACATCGTTATCATACATAAAAATGAAGTTTTGAATTAATTCTCTCATAGTTAACCATGCTATAAACAATATTTTAATTGAATAATGATTATGAAGCATTCATGTTAATTTTGGCTGGTAGATTAAAAATATTTTAGAGTTTATTCATGAAGATCAGTGTGGATTTTTATCTAAAGGAATAATAAAAAACAGATATAATAGAATATTTAAAACAACATAATGAAAAACAAGCCAAGTTAATCTTCTTAGATGCAGGTAAATCTTTTGATAATTTGAAAGCTGCCCCTTTTGTTTAAAGTTATGAAAGGTATGGACTGAATTTTATTCAAGGAATTACTTTTCATATAGATTGCTGTAATGCGTTCTGCATGTTACTGACTTTGAAATACTTAGTAGAAAATGTAGTAGTCTGCTGGTGACTGAAAGCTGCTACATCCATGATGGTGAACCTATGGCATGCGTGCCAAAGGTGGCATGCGGAGCCATATCTGTGGGCACGCGAGCGTTGCCCTATCTCAGCTCCAGTGCGCATGTGCGCACCGGCCAGCTAATTTTTGGGCCCTCCGGTCCCACCAGAAGTTGGGAAACAGGCCATTTCTGGCCTCCAGAGGGCCTCTAGGGGGATGGGGAAGGCCATTTTTGCCCTCCCCAGGCTCCAAGAAAGCCTCTGGAGCCTGGAGAGGGTGAAAAACGGGCCTACCTGGCTCACCATGCCATCGCGTGCCAAAAGTGGGGGGAGTGCAGGGGGGTCGTGTGCACATATGCGGGAGGCGGGGCACACTGAATTATGGGTGTGGGCACGTGCACGCGCGATCCCCCCACTCCCTCCACTTTAGACACGCGACGGCAAAAAGGTTAGTCATCACTGTGCTACATACACATAACTCTATTGCTACAGACTGTATTACTTGCCAATAGGCCTCCAGATACAATTCAAATAGAAGCGGTATTCAGCAGGTTCTGACCAATTCTGGAGAACTGGTAGCGGAAATTTTGAGTAGTTTGGAGAACCGGTAATAAATACCACCTCTGACTGGCCCTGCCCCCATCTATTCTCTGCCTTCCGAGTCCCAGCTGATCGAGAGGAAATGAGGATTTTGCAGTATCCTTCCCCTGGAGTGGGGAGGGAATAAAGATTTTACAGTATCCTTCCCCTGGACTGGGGTGAGAATGGAGATGTTACAGTATCTGTTAGATCGGGCGAGTGAGGAGACAGCCCCAATGCCAAATGGGGACGCATTGCAGACAAGGACAAGGGGAAGCAGTTCATTGTGTTGGATTATGAGGCTGTCGGCTGAAAGAAGTCTTTTGACAGCTGCAAATGCCACAGCTTCCGCCCTACCCCAAACCCACAGAGATTTTTTTGCCAATAGTTTGTGGAGTGGTTCGGCCACTATAGTTTTGTCCTTTAAAAACATAGAATAAAAGTTCAAAAGTCCCAGTAACACCTGCAGTTCCATCCAGGTCGTTGGGGTAGGTGCGTTGCGAATAGCCCGGACTTTGCTCTCTGTGGAATGGATACCAGCCCAATCGATCTTGTACTCTAGAAACTCAACTGTGGGTACAGCAATCTGGCATTTGTCCCTTTTAACTTGTAGCCCCGCGTTCCTGAATATAGTTAGCATTCCCCTCAAGCGATCCCTCAGCTGTTGTTCATCTGCTGCGGTAACTAAGACATCATGGAAATAGGGTACAACCCCCAGCAGTCCTTGCAGCAGGCGTTCCATGACACTTTGAAACAGCCCAGGGGCAACACTAACCTCAAATTGTAGTCTGCACTTGAAGGCACCTCTATGTGTTACTATAGTCTGTGCTTCCGCGGTAGTGTCATCTACTGGCAGTTGCTGGTACGCCTGCGCAAGATTAAGTTTAGCAAAAACCTTGCCGGGGCCAAAGAATGGAACAAGTGCTGCACAATGCAGACAGGGTAGGCGCTTTGCTGGAGGACTTTCTTTAGGGTACACTTATAGTTGGCACAGATGCGCACTGACC